GAGAAGGGAAGTGGGGAATCCCAGGAGAGTTGTCTGCGGTAGGAATCGTCAGATTGACGTCGTAGCAGCGCTTCACGATGGTATTGCAGGAGGACATCGAGGGGTACAAGCCACGTATGCCAAGATAAGTGAGTTGTACTACTGGGATGGGATGATGGATATGGTCGGAAAGTTCTGCCGATCTTGCGTACCTTGCCAGGAAAGATCCTGTTTAAGGCAAGGAGAGCCGCTGCATCCCAGGCTAGAGCGAGAGGTGGGGGCTGTAGTGCATCTCGATCTACTTTTTATGCCACTTGGAGATCAAGGCTATAACTATATCTTTGATGTGCGCGATAACCTGTCTGGGTTCATAGACGGACGTGCTATTCGCACAAAGACCGGGTCAGTCCTGGTGAGCTGCATCGAGGAGTACTACCTGCGTTATCCTTTCGTCATGAAATTCGTAATGGACAGGGGATCAGAGTTTACCTGCCAGGAGGTGCAAGAACTGTTATCAAGGTATGGTGTGGCAGCCAACAACACCACGGTCGCGCACCCCCAGGCAAATGCTCCCGTAAAGAGAGGACATAGTACCATTACGAATCTCCTGGCCAAATGGACCGAAGGTAGGCCTAATCTTTCTTTGTCGAGAACATTACAGTAAAGAGATCCACCAAGTACGCACCTGCGACACTGTGGTACGAAAGGCACGCCACCTTTCCTATCGAAAGCTTTCTTAAGACATGGAGGCGCCAGGATCTGRAAGTTAACCTGTCATTTGAAGAGTTGCTCGATATTTGGGCGCGGCAGATTGGGGCGATAGAAGAAAGGATCCAGGAGGCATCTGATCAGGTGGCGAGAAGCCGTATGGATGATAAGGCTCGATGGGATCAGTCTGCGTGAGTGAGGAAAGTACCCTTGGCAGTTGGGGATGTCGTGCATCTCTACGATACATCGCTGGAGAAGCAGTGGTCCAGGAAACTCGATAAGAGGTGGTTAGGTCCCTACCGAATCGCACGGGTCGGAGACTTCGGAGCGTACCAGATCGAGGAGTTAAATGAGACTGAGTGGAAGGATTGGGTATCTGGAACGCGACTGAAGAAATTTGTGGCGAGAGAAGAGGTAAGAGAGATGACCTGACCACCTTTAGAATAGAAGTAACAGGGTGTGCAGGTTAGGAAGGATGCATGCTGCATGAGTGTGGTCTGGTCTAAGCTTGCTCTGATTATCACCTGCTTGCTTACCCCAATGTGTGCCTGTTGTCTCCTTCGCCTGTTGTGCAGGTCTGACTTTACGAAGACAGCCATGCCAAGAGGAGGGAAGGGGACACGGCCGCCTCAAAGGCCGTTGGGCGCATCAGGAGGATATGAGGGGCATGAGCCTCGCCATCGAGAGAGTACTCCAGTCTACAATGATGGGGACATCGAGCTATTCCTGGACAGTTTCTGGAAGCATGCGAGGCGTATAGGCTGGACCGTCGCTTAGGCGATTGAGGGATTGAGGGGAGCAGGTAGGTTCGAAGAGCCCATTGTTAGGATTTGTAGGGAGGCGACGACGAGGCAGGAGGTGGAGATGAGGATGGAGGAGTTGCGACCCTCGCCTGTGGGACCTGATGGCAGGCCGATCCGCCTGGAGATTGGAAATGCGTCGGACTTCATCCCAGCGTTTGAGTGGTTCATGCAAGAGCAGGGCATACCGAGAGATGATTGGATGCAGACGCTACCACTCTGGGTCAGGAAGGCGGAAAGGCCACTGGCTATGCAGATCAGGGACATGGCACGAGATTGGGAGAGCTGCAGGGCACATTTGAGAGAGGCCTTTCGACGGCCAGAGCTCCCTCAGCCCAAAGTCGAGAGGCGGCAGAGGAGTCAGAGGCTGAGGGACCCTGAGCCCAGGGAGGCAAGACCATCTCGAGGAGTACAGAAGGCCCTAGCCAGGAAAGAGCAGGAGCCAGAGGATGAGGAGCGAGGGGCATACCCTGAGTGTGGGTTGGGGCCAGTGGAGTTCCATCGTTTTACTGAGGGTGGATTGAGGAGGTCGCCAGCACACACACAGGGGGAGCCACCAGCGTCAGAGGGGCCCTTGAGGGAATTGGAGATGCATTTAGTTATTTCTCGGTGGAGGGCGTCGCTTCAGGGTGAGGAGCATGGAGAGCAGGCAGAGGAGGTGTCACGAGAGGAGGTGCCACGAGAGGAGGTGCCATAGGGGGAGATACCACGAGAGGAGATGCCACGGGAGGAGGTGCCACAGGAAGAGGTCCAGGGTACTCAGCGAGAGAGAGGGATGGGCGATGAGGGGAGACGTGCAGGGAAGGAAGTGATAGAGGTTGGAGAGGACACACCCCCACAGACGCCAGCAGTGGGTTTGAGACTCGGGGATGCACCAGGGAGCACCTGGCAGGCAAAGGAGGGGTTGCAGAGAAAGGAGACCCCTTTACCTTCGTCAGAAAAGGCTCCTTCGCCAGAAGGGGGGGCAGAAAGGAGGAGAGAGAGGGCAGTTGTAAGGAGAGAAACTTTGATCCTGATTGATAGGCACCTAGCAGCTCATGCCCTGGAGCACCCAGACTTGGAGGAGCCAGCACCTGCAGAGCCACGCCAGGAGTCATGCCAGCCCGAGAAGGAGATGGAAGCAGAGATCCCAAAGAGGGTCGACCTCCGCACGAGGGAAAGGGTGCCAGCTGGAGAGACGGCTGAAGAAAAGAGGGCGAGACGAACCAGGCGGATAGATGGGATATGGCAGAAGAGGCAGAGGTTGAAGGCAGCGGGGGAGCTCCCGGAGCAGCAGCAGGAGAGGCAGAGATCGGAGGCAGCAGGAGCACTCCCGGGTCAGCCACCAAGCGCACCAGCTAGGGCCCCAGAGATCCCTGAGATATGGAGGGACTTCTGGGAGCAGAGAGGAGAGGAGCTTCCATCGCCAGTCAGAGCCGGGTTTGGGGTGGTCAGGAAGGCGGAAGAAAGGTTAGATCATAAAATCAAGTTCTTGGCCAAGACCACTTTTGACCGGCACTTGTTATTGGAGGGCGATCTGGCGGGGAAGAAAATGAAGGAAGTCAGCCATGGAGTATGTCTGGAGGCTATGGAGATGGAAATTCAGGAACTTAGGGCTTTGGTGGCCAGCCAGACAGCTATCATTGAGAGCCTGAGGCAGCAAACCCAGGGAAAGGTGGACAGACCAGAGAGCAGCCGGCAGGGAGAGCAGAGGCAGCCAGGACAGGGATTGCCAGAACAGCCATCTGCGACAGAGCCTCGCCAGGAGCCACCTATGGGGAGGATTATCCTGGAGTCAGAGGAGGCGAGAGCACAGAGACAGACGGAGAGAGAGGCGTTCGAGTTCAGAGTCCCTACCGAGCTCGCGACACTGCCAGTAGCAGCGGCGGGCCCAGTCGTACCTTTGGCAGTAGAGGAGGAGCTGCCACCATCTAGCAGTGAGCCGGCTCAGGGCTCAGTAGAGGAATCCATGGGCGTGCTCCTTGAGGCGGTGCATACTATGCAGGAGGAGGTGAGTTTGTTTTCACCTGAGCAGAGGAGCCTCTTGAGAGAGAGATGGGGATTGAGGAGGAGGGTGCCATCGAGGGCAGACTCCAGAGGATAGGCACACCTGAGTATGGACCAGAGGAGATAGAGGAGAAGCCCACGACAGTGCCAGGGGCGACACTCGAGAGGAGGTCTCAGAGGTTGGACACGCCCGAGTACGTCCCAGCGACAGAGGATTTGAGAGGCAGACTAGGATCTTGGGCTACTGGATCTGGGTCTGGTGGACCGGTTCCTGGGACAGAGCAGCAGGAAGTCGTTAGTACCGCAGCTCCTCGATCAGAGCAGCAGGGGGGTGTCGGTACCTTGGTGGGATCTCATTCATCGCCACCTCCTCAGCCCAGGAAGAAGAAGTTCAAGAGAAAGGTAGATCAGCTATGTTTTTACTGCAAGAGGACGTGCATCTGGCTTTGGACTATCTCGAGTTTCTTGAGGATAAGGCAGCAGGGAAGGTCTCAGAGGTAGGGGGTAAAATGTATGATAGACAGGGTAGGATAGTAGAGAAGTCCGCAGATGGACTTAGGGCTCAGTTATATAGGCAAAACCAGGAGGAGTTGAGGAGGTAGGACCGGTTTTGTCTATATAAGTGAGCGAACATTTTGTGAGGCATCAACTTAGGTTCTGTGTGATACCCTCTTAGACTTAGAAGACATTTTGATGATTGTTGTTAGTCTAGATCTGAACTCTAGTGTTTCTACTGAGTTGGGATCTTGAGGATCAGGGTGAGTTAGATGAGGCATGTACATATTTAGGTGGCCTACGCCCTGGCCTTTGAGACACAGATCTGACATGTATTCTAGGGGCAGTTGYTAGTGTAAGTTTGGTGTGACTTGAGTTGAGACAGGTTATTTCCTTGAGTATATATTATGATGAGGTCTTTGACCATTCTTATATGTGACGATCACTTGTCACTCTCACATGTGTGGTTGTACTCTGATGTATGATGAGTTTGTGTGGACGATGTGTAAAAAACATCTGGTGTATTATAGGTACTGTGAGTATGATTGTAAGTAAAACTGTCTACTCCTCGGTATACTTGTGCGACCTGCCCACGGCAGCTGATAAGGCAGAGTATAAGGGGAGGAAGCGCAGTCCGTCTGTGAAAGTTATCTAAGTTGTGATGAGGACCCATAAGATGGTCTCTAAGTGATGTTCTGTTTTATGATGGGACTCCCTTAGATTTTGGAAAAGATGGGATGTTTTATGATGTTTTGTGATGTAACGAAACCCCTCGTGACTTTGAGAGAGGGGGTGTTTGGTTTATGATGAGACCCTCGTGACTTCTGGAAGAGGGAATGTATTGTTTTATGGCGAGACCTCTCGCGATTTTTGGAAGAGGGGATGTTTTGTTTATGAAGAGAGCCCCTTTTGGATTGTTGGAAAAAGGGAGTGGTTTTTGGTTGGAAGACTCATCCTCAGAGGTGAGTAAATTAATTTGTGGCATGACGAGTTGTTTGATGGGTGATAAAGTCTGACGAAAAGGGCCACTTTTTGTTTCAAATGTTTGAGAAAGTCGCAATGAGTACAGGGCGAGAGATGTCTCAGGGTGGATGGTTGCTGGCTCTGATCAAGTCAGGGGTCACGGCCTGGTGGATTTAGCAGTGATTTTGCTTGTAAGCGTGCGAAGGATGCCATGCCTATTGAAGGAGGGCTGGTAAATGCCTTCAGACCCCTGCGTATCGTGCAGTGGGCCTGTGATTTTGTTTTGCAACGCCCCGTCTAACCACCTGTGCTAGTTCTGGGATATATTGAAGAAAGGCCAAGCTAACGGAAAAGAAGTTAGTACCTCTAGGGCGTAACCCCATTGGATGGCTGCTAGCCGGCGCAACCTGGTTGCGGGACCGCGGGGTAGGAGTTTAAGGGGGGTTGCCCGCCCCAGTGAAGTTACTCCGCGGGATAATGATGGTTGGAAATTTTTGGGGGAAATCCTGATTGAGTGCTTACCAGGAGGAAACCTATCGTTGCGTAACCAACGAAGGTACTGCCGTTAAATAACAATGCGGTGGGCCGTGATCCTGGTCCGATCAGCCAGGCTATRGTAGGYCAAGGTGGAGACCTAGCCTTTCTGTACTAGACTGCAGAAAGAGTTGAGCGAATATTAAGTATACATATATACTTGCGTGTATTTGATTGCGAGAAATTTTTGAGAAGGAAGGCGAGAGTGTCTTCAAAAGGTCTCGATTAAGACCCGCGTCCCTAGTTTTGCCAGGACTGGGGACACCCAACGAAAAGCCGAAGGTTGTCTAGGACCGGGGAGAGGACGATTGGGAAGGTCTTTGGAACTTATGCTGCCAGTGTCCTAATTTCAGGACTGTGTGAGGCCCAGGTTAGAAACCTGGCAGCATATAGTTATGAAGGCATGGTTTGATGGAGGCCTCTACCCTGTGTTTGTCAGCTAATCAGATTGACCCTTGTTTCGTCAGCATTTGGAATGTGGATGGATTTATAGCTTTCTGATTTGGCGAAGCGACGGGGACGTCGCTTAATATGGTCCGGTAAGCTGTCGGTGCGAATACCCTTACATGGGTATCCGCCCTGGTTTTTGCAGGTGACAGAAAATAGTTTTAGTTTAAAGTTTAAGTATGCCGCGCTAGGCGCGGCGGTGTCTGTGATTACATTGATAGGATGGTTGACTAGGATAAAGAGTGTGTGGGCGCGCTGATTTTTTAGGCGCGCGTGATCCTTAATTATTGATGACTAAAGCGTCGGCGTGTTCGCCGGCCAGAATTTTTGTTTCCTCCTGTTTAAATAGGGATTAGAGAGATTATGTCTCATTGGCTAAGGTGTTCACTTGCGACCCGTGCGTACGTACGAAGGACGGCGTCAGACACAACGAGATTTTGAAAACGTTTTACTAGTAGTAGATCTATGAGTCGCATAGTGCTTGCTTTTTTTTTTTTTTTTTTTTTTTTTTTTTGTATCGTCGATATTAGACCCAACCTTGGGCCTAGCATTATTGATTATAGCATCGGATTTTTGTTGAAGAGATCTAGGGATCGAGACCGAGCACCGACGATGCTGGGATCAGAGTGGCGCGAGTGGCGGCCGTGGTACAGCTTGGTAAGTCGGCGCAGACGCTAGCGGCCGCGCGCACGGTTATGGGCAGGGATGAGGCTGAGGCCAATTCCCCTGGCCCTGAGCGTAGCGCTGCACTGCCTTATATGGCAGTCCGCGGAGGTGGGTCTCAGGCTTGGGCTTAGCCCTATAGRTTATAGCACTAAACTGATACGCAGCRGGTACGGGGATCRAGGCCAGCAGCSAGCRATCGAGGAGCAAAGGAGTGCGAAAGGAAGGCYTGAGGGGTTGATGGTCCTCACGGYCGTCCCCTTCACCTTTTGCCCCTCGGAATAGTGGCGGGCCCGACCCGTGGCACCGGCAAGGTGCCAATAATTCCCCTAGCCCCGCCTGTAAAAAATTRYTTTTTGTGATTTTATTTTTATTTTTATTTTAMTTCTGTTTTCCCACRATTGGGACTGCCCCGTTGTGCTCTGGGGCTTGGTACTTTGTATACCACGAAAGAGGCCGGCCGGGAAGGATGGAGTGTCGGGGTGGAGCAATGAGCTCCAGAAGTATAAGTCAAGGGACAGCGCCCGGCATTCAGTGAGGTCACTGCAAAAGCCATGCCGGAGCGCTGTCTCGTTGACCGGCGCTAAGGAAGGGAGGCGGTCGTGGCCATTAATCGCAGCGCAGCAGCAGGGATGAGTAGCGCTGTGGGACCTAGCGATGCTGCAGCCGGAAGCGTGGCGGGCAGGTGACTGTCGGCGACGGGGGGGGGTGTGAAGGCAGCGCGGTTAGGAACGAGCGCTGAGGTGGCAGAGAGAGAGAGGAAGAGGGGGCTCGAGCAGCGCTGCGCAGGCAGTGGGTGACGAACAGCGAGTGGCGGACCAGCGGGAAAGAAAGAAATGAATAAAAATAAAAACAAATGAATCCGGTCCGGATTCGCAACAAGGTGCATACGGGGTGAGGGGATGGCTATGGCGCACTAAAAAGCGCTGAACTTGCCCAGTTTTGAGCGGGATCGGGCAGGGGAAAAGGTGATCTGGGGGTTTTGAAGAGTGGCGAATCAAATGATGATGTTAGTTTTAGATGAGAATTAATAAACTTAGTGTTAGTAGGAAATAGACTGCGCGAAGCTATGGCGGGCAGCGGGAGTGATGAGTGATAAAGGTGGATAACTTCCCCGTTTCTCGTTGAGAACAGGCAGGGGAGGGATCGAACTGAGGGTTTTCGGTCGCTGTGAGTTAGATGGTGCAGGCGGATTCGGCGATGGGGGTGTAAGTTTTGTGTTGTTTTAAACATAGACTGCGCCGGGGTGAAAACGAGAAATTAGTGAATGTATTTAGCCGCATTCTAGCGGAAGATTCATTTGATTTTTTTTCGCCCCTGCTGTAGCAGGGAGCTAATAGCCGGGTTGAGATTTTACCWGTTGGTTGTTGCATTGATCACCTAGCTGTTGGAGTCCGCGCACCCATGCACACACACGGAGAGAGAGAGAGAGAGAGTGGACACACGTACCTGATTGGCGGGAGGAAGGACCCGCTTCCGTTTGTTCGTGGTGGGGCACGACCGTTCTAGCATCGGGCCCAGGCACAGTAAGGATCGACAGATTGAGAGTTTTTTTTTTTTTTTTTTTTTTTTTTTTT